AATATTTTTGGCTTTTAAGACATGTCCAAATATTTGCAGAAAATGCATGTGGCATAACACATGCACGCCCGTTTTTGCCTCAGTCAAAAACAGTAGACCGTAAAAAATAGCTGCATCGCTCTAGCATGTGGGGTTGAAACTGCGCACTTGCGGCACAAAATTCGGTAAAACAGACAAAAGGCCATCACAAATTTGTCGTGCTCGATAAGGCAACAAGAAATGAGTGCTGACACGTGAAACTAATTAGGTCCCTCTTATTAAATCATATAACGAAGTTAAAATGCATTAGGGATTCGCTCTCCGGGAAACACTATAGCTGAATATTGTTCATGTTTCGTTAAAGTGAATGCAACCTATGTGACAGTTCCACACGTGATAGGCAAAAAGTGATTCGTGCAAATAACCCGTCCAATTAGTGCCACGACTTAGGGGCGTGAGGGGTAATAAAAGTGCCTCTTCGGTTCATTTTACACGGACAATCAATAAAGAAGTGCAGCAAGAACCTAATACAGGAAATAAGGTTGCTTAACAATGGCATTCATAAATACACAGGTGTGCGCGCCTGCTATAAACAAGACAAGCGTGTTAGCATTCGAGGAGGTAGAAAGCAACATCTGACTGCTCAAAATAAACATCCTGCTACGAGATGTTTCTGTGGTTAAAAAGTGAAACAAAGCCTTGCATCAAGTGTGCAATAAATTAGGCTAGAGAATCACATGGTGTGCTTCACCACTGCCACAGTACGCCAGAGGGAATACGGAAGTTCCAATTGTGAAAATCAAACGAACAAACTTGCGCACACCTTCTTGGACTTGGGTTAAGTTTTGGCTGGGAAGTATTAGTTGATTCTAGGGTGGTGCAATGCACTCTAGGTTAACATTTGCACCACTGGATTATAAAGTGTGGGCTGCCTTTCAACCAATCGGCCGAGTCCCTCACCAGTAACCAAATGCTAGAACTTCGAGTGGTTTAGTTAAACAGGTTGGCGACAAAAAACTGTCTTTGTTCCCACTTTTAGATGACGTTTTGGGAAAGCGTTGGTTTATAAATTTACGAAACAGTTCACACGTAGACTGACTGGAGAGCGTATGACTGGAATTTGATCTTCTCGCAAACGCAAGTCGTCAGAAAAAAAAATTCAAGATATTCCTTCATGTTCTATGCACAACTTAATCCCTCATGGCCTATTTGCGATTGTTTTTGCCGTCTTTAATAATTTAATTTCTCAGATAAATTCGTTTTCGAAACCAATAATAAACTTCGAAACGCGTGAATAGCAAATAATCCATTTAATCCATCACCTCAGATCTAGCGGGTGTAACTCAACGAAGTCCGGAAATTTCGGAGACAGATCCTACACTTTTTTTAGGAACATGAATTCACAAGGCAAAAAATTAAGTGGTTGTCCAGTTTGTGAGGCATGAAAGCATACAATTTGAATGGAGAATTCTAATGTGAAAACCTGAAACGCATAAAACACATGTTCAAAATTTGGAGGCTTTTTTAGTACGGCGTCATTGATTTTAGTTCGCACGCATCAAATAAGGACACGACCAATCCCCGGTTCAGAGATCCAGATGAACCTATGACCTTACTTCTTCTAATCGGCAGCTGCCTTTGGTGAAGGTTGTGAGGTGAATACCACCATGTTCGACAGAAACCCTATACTCACACGTTAGGCGTCCATTGGCCTACCTATTGATGTGAGGTGGGGTTTAAGCATAACATTTGTGCGCTAAGTTGGCAGGGTCAGTTCACCCAGCTTACCGGGCATCTGGGAGGTACGAAGAAAATATTTGGTTGGCTGGCAGGGACTCCATGTGGTTAAGGGGTGTTAAGGTCTTTACGAAAAGGCCGACACTCGAGTTCTTTGAAAACTGCATTAAATCGATGTTGTTTGGGGAATAATGTTGGGTGAGGCTACCTCAAAACCAGATGTGGGCTGTTGTGTGCTAAGGAGGCTTAAATTCGATTAGAACGTTTTGGCACAGGTAGTAGCAGAATAATGATGACATTGGAAAACTCGTCCAATTGCTAAAGGCAAAATTAACAACAAAAAAGTTGATTACGGCCCTGAACTCTGTCTACATTTGTCTCAAAAAGGGCAAATCTCTTTGTAATCCTTTCTTGGAGCAAAAGAAGTATTAAAAAGCGTCGCTTTCAAAGGACGAAGTGCTGGGGAGGTAACGTCTCCTCTAGACAATTTTCTCCAATAATTACAATCGTCTCTTTACAACTCTAATCCATCAGGCTAAGGTCGCTCAGGGCATTAATAGCCGGCCATCACGATTTGTTATTGGGCTCCCGACATGTCCTGGACAGGGGAGGTGGGCGTGCGTCAGGCCGGGCGTGATTTCAACTCCGGACAAATGGTGGCACGATGAATTGACATTTACTACCTGTGGTAACTGCAACGAATAAAATGCAGAGATGTTCTGCGATTGTAACTTGCCTGATTGCAACTTTAATCGCACCGATAAACTAATGATGCAAACATGCACGTGTTACACGTATAACGAGTTCTATAGAAATCGAAGTCATTTTAGGCCAGAGAAATTCAATAATTCGCACAACGAATTTTACATCAGAAAAGTGCCGGAACCTCTTTATGGACAAGATCCAGGACACATTGACCACTACCCTTCTTTACCATTGCAAAACACTTTCCCAGAAAAACAAATATTTTCTTTGAAAATATAGATATTTTAATTATGTTTGTGTGTATAAACCCAAACATGGCTAGTTGAGTTGCAACACGAAGCCTGAACTTGATGGACGGAAAAGACAGGCCTTCAAAGCTGTCTTGTGAATGGGGCTCTTAGGTGTTGCAATGAATCGCGTTGATTCACATCCAATAACCCGATTGTAGCAGCCTCACACACACGATCCCCTTTTCACGGCATGACCGTCAGTCACGCGGGTTCACTCCTCTGCATCTACCACGACCTTCCGCTTTATCCACGTGACCATTCCGACTTCCGTATTTTTACTAGTCCACTCAACTGCATCAGCCAGTAAACGGTTGTGCCGCCTCCTCACCGGCCTTCTTCATCTTAGAGGGTACTCAGGGTAGCGTAATTGGCCTAGATCCAACGCAGTGGCCCGGGCCCTCAACAGTGTATTGACCCATACCCAGCTTTGATACTAAGGAAAAAGACTATGTAACAGTTGGAACCAAAATCAACATCTATCATCCGGTCTGAATGAAAAGGAAGTGGAAGGCGACCTAGCTGTCCTGTCGCCGTAAAAAAGTGTGTTTACGACAAATGTCCTTAAGCCATAAAGGGATATAGAAAATTAAATCTGGTGAAAGAAAATGATCGATTTACGATTAATAATATGACTAGGGGAGTCAGCTTGTCACATAGCTTGGAATATGTTATCTTAGAAGTAATTGCATGACGGAAAAGCTTACAGTTTGAGAGGTCCTTAAAGCCTAACTAGTCTAATCGAGTGAATCAGACAAGGCACCCACTGAGAAGGCAGGTAAAGAAATTGAGATCACGGTTTCGAGCAAATCAGAGTAAAAGTTCCATATGTGATTTCAGAAAGTGGATGGACACTCAAATGTGCATATCGTCAGTTCTGGTTTAGTCGGAAAAATTGTAGATCAGCCCTAACATCTCGAAGACATTCGTTTGGGAGTTTTCATCCCTCAATGCTGCAAAACTTGGAATACTTCCACGAATCCCTTAAAAAGGAAGATTTCTCGATAATACTTTGAGGGGTACATTGGTTGAAAGTTAGTATTTTGACCCAATACATTCACAGGTGCCGAATAATTTTAACTTGATAAAAACGACAGATTCTTTATTTTCAACTATATTGACACTCGCTGCAGTTAAAAATTATTACCTGTTGATATTTACGTCGAAATAACTGTTTTCAAAAGTTTGATAAAATTCAGTCCACTTCATTATGATTTGGGTCAACAAACATGCATAGACGAACGTTTACACTGGTAAACATGGCAACAAGAAGCATCATGTGTTGTTATGACAATGAATTACCAGCACAGATGTGAGGCGGACTGCCACATCTGGTAGTACGGTAAAAGTCATACACTATCGATTATTCCAAGCAATGGCAGGAAATATCATCCAAGGATGATCACACAACGTAATTTTAAGATAAAACCGCAGTGGGCTAATTTTTAAACACTTAAAGCACTCTAAACCAACTAGACCTATGGCCTGATGGGCCAGAACTGGTGGTCAATAAAACTGTGGAAAATGCTGATCCTCACATGAGATTTATTTAACATGCGTCAGCTTCGTTCACTGGATATTGATGAATTATACTAAAGTAGACGATTGGATGAGAAATCAACTACACACAAGCCCGATAACTGTGGCATGTGAGCAGGGCACATTTTCTTTCAAGGCTAATAATCGCAACTGCACCACTAGGAAAGTACGATTTAAGTCGGGTCAATGGAGGCGTTTACCCGAGTACTTAACAAAAATCTTCAAAAACGACACGTAGTTAGGAGACTTCATTACTTCGAAGCAAACAAACCCATGCCTAATTACAGAAAGGAATTCCTATGAAATTATTAGCACGTTTATCTGGGTAACCATCCTAACAGTGGCCCACAGCATTAGTGTCGCGCATGTGGATTCCAATGCTTCACGGGATAATCACACAGGTCAGTAATCTGAATTGTGATAATTACATCGTCACCACAGCCCACCCACAAATAAGTAGGAGCTTGATTGACAAAGTGGCAAAGTTCAATTTCAAATTAGAAATGTGTGCTGTTGCTTCGAGATACACGTTTGGCGTTTCGGTAGAGGCGAATTTACGGCGCAAGCTAATGAGCGGCTGTAGTAATGTCGCATGGAGTGCATTCCCATCTAATTAGGATGCAAGGGTGCAGCAGAATTAGGATTAGATTAAGAGGGCAAAACGCTTGTATTACAAAGGCGGCATTGAGTGCACGCGAACGCAAAATCTCATATAAAATTCACGTAAATGCAGTTTAAAGGTGGAGGGGCTTCTTAACTCAGTGCCTTGATCATTTGGCCGCCGACAGAAAGAAGCTGCAGGTATTCGTCCGCGCCTTCAACCATACACGCATCAGCTTCCTTAAATAAAAACAAAAATGACATGAAAGCAGTGAGTGGAACCAATCACTAGACAATAAGACCACCACCTACTGCGATTGCATCCAATATTTTTTGCTTTGAAAGGTCTGAGATTTCAGTGGACTTGAGTACCCTGGATTGGAGTTGGCTCACGAGTTGGAGAGCAGAGAAACCTTCATATATTATTTCCTGCAATAAAATGAACAAAAGCTAAGCCAGAAAAACGATAAGTTGCAATCTGCCATAACGAATGGTCCCAGCTTGGAACCTGAATCCGGGATTTAGAGCTTTGCTGGCAAAAGCTGGGGCAGAACAGCATGAGTGTTTCGAAGTGGGGATCACTTACCTTGATAGTTAACTGGATCTTCTCAAAATTACGCCCCTTGGCGGCAGAGACAAGGGCCTCTTCAAATTTTTCAGGAATAACAGAGGCCAGCTCATCTAAGTGTGCACTGGTGATCGGGACAGGCTCATTGAAGCCCTCGATGCTCAGCGGTGCAACAAAACGAGAAGCACTCTGGAGAAGGGTAATGCTCTGACGGAGATCACCATCGCATAGATCCAAGAGGTGGTTTAATGTCTAGTTAAAGAAAATAGGGTGTCCCATTAATGACGAAGTGAGTAGGCAGTACTGGTGGGGCTAGCTCGAAACCCCGTCACATTTAGAAGGTTAATCCCAATAAACAAGTTAGGACATGTTTACTCATTACGTAAGCGGATGAAGCCGGGTTAGTGAAAACAAGGCTACTTATAACAACAACGCTTAGATGACAGACGATGGTTTCAATAGAGTGGAAGTAAGCGATGCCGACATGTAACACTTAGTTCAAACCACTGAAGTGCAGCAATAAGCAAGATTGCAAAAGGTTTTTTTTTTAAAAAAAAGCATCATTTTTGGTGACTCGATAATGAAGCAATAAGTGGTAGCAACAACGATTGCTCGAAAACAAGCTACGATGCCCAAGCCTAAAGATGAAGTAGACTGTTCTGGTGTTGGGTACAACAGACTGGTGGTGATGCAGTGAAATCGGATGGGCGAGCACATCTAATATGGACCGCACAAAAAGGGGCCGATGCGTGAAAATTAAAACTGAGCTTCAGTATTCAGTAGAAACAACGAACCTCGTCAGAGACACCAAGTTTTTCACAATCAGCAATATAGCGCAGTCGAGATACAGCAACTTCATTGTCTAGAGGCCGAAACCGAAATTTAGCACACCGGCTTGAAATAGGTCCGATAATCCTGGTCACGTAATTGCATGTTAAACAGAAACGAGTGCTTTTCATATCAGTTTCCATCGTCCGCCGAAGGGCTGCCTGCAAACCAATAACATTCGAAACAAGTCTGCACGGCAGTAACAATGTGAAAAAAACTGTGACGTACTTGAGCTGGAGCAGTCATCGAATCTGCCTCATCAAGGACAACAAGCTTGTAAGGCGGAATGGAAGACGTTTCACCGGTGGTCGAATTAACGCTTCCAGTTGCTAGCTTTGCAAAGTTCTTAACCTTCTCTCTAATAACGGCGATACCACGCTCATCACTAGCATTAAGTTCAAGAACTCTTTCCGAGTACAACGGGCTATAAAAAGAACGCATTATGAACGAAAGCATCAGCAGGAAAAGACAGCAACTACACGTACCCAAACAACTGGCGTGCGAGGGCAAGAATCAAAGATGTCTTGCCAGTACCAGGGGGGCCATAAAACAAGAGGTTCGGCAACTAGAAATATTATTGATGAATTACCACATACATCAGCTCCTTCTAAACATTTACGTAAGACAGACACAACTTCAGTCTGGTGAACTACTTCATTCACTGTTTTAGGGCGGCTTAAAAGTTGGGTTAGAATGATTTACATACTATTTTTCAACCCATGGAATATTTCTACAGGATTTCTTTTTAGTGATTTTCTGGACAGGAGCTCTCGCAGCACCAGTCAGGAATTTGTCCATTCGAGACTCAGGTGTGTTTATATGCAGTCCAATGGTCAGAACTTTGAACTATTATCATCAACATTTCGTGAGAATCACTTTCTACATAAACCTTATAAGATGAGATTAATTAAGCTATTAGAGACAATGTTAATCGAAAAGTAAGACATACTTATTACCTATACATATTACCTATATTAGTTCCAAATCTTAGTTTATTGACGTGGAACTTGTTTTGTCGACAGCCTAAGGTCACCTCAATGCCTCCTATTGGTAAATGGTCTTGTGTATGTCAGGGGCGTTGGGATTGTGGAAATTGAGGTGCACAGTCTTTAGACAAATATATGGACCGGACAACCGAACAGTTTGAAGAGGCATCATGGAAAATGATGCATGGGGACATTTATGAAGGAGCATCTGAATACTACGACATAACTCAACAGTTTTTGGATGCCTTTCAGATTCTCGAACTTGACTCTTTCGAATCGCTGAAGTTGGCGTTAAGAAACTTTACTGAGGTTTCTCAGTCCTATCACTAACTTTCGATTTAGGAAACAGGCTATGCCTATACCATCAAACGGTCAAAGCGATATCGAGAAAACGATATCAGGCGCAACCTACTGATCTACAACCATATTTGTTATGGTTGTACGTTACATGTCCAAGGCTCTTCAAGTTGCTCGAAGTAAGTTAAATGTTGAAATTAAGGGTCATTATGATTTTCATGATGCTATACACATATAGGGATTATATTAATTTACCATCTAAAATGTACTTGGTTGAATAGACTTGCAGTGTGAAGTTGAAGTGTGTGGCAGCTAGCATTATTTTATGAAGGACGTATCCTGTAGCAAATCAAGTGGCAAGTATTATTCACTAGTGTTTGGCGCGTGGAAGTATGTTTTGATCGAAACCACCTTACCGGTTACTTACTATCGTATATTAGCCATTAAGCTGTTCGCAATGGGTACTGCTTCGTTGATGCTACCATCTGCAGCTAAATAAGTAAAAATTAATCTTAACGCAATCACATTTTATGTTATATTAGACAACCTGAAATTCCATGTCCTTCCCAGATCAACTTTACCAGTGTGAAGGGTGTTTTCAAGGTTGCAAAATTTGTCATGATTCACAACCACCCTCCTCCAATAACCTCAATGAAAGCCGAAATTGACTCCTCAACATTCCCAGGTAATTTTCAATTTTGTGAATTTTACTTTATTCCTACTAGCTTTCATTGACTGCAGTGACAAATTTCGTGAAGCGTTTCCTGGTATGTCTGCAGGGTCTTACATGGAATTTACCAACCGCCTAAAAGGCTTCGAAAAGGTTAGTTGAACTAGGTTACCTTGCCACACGTTTAAATGCTTTTAGTCTATCCTCCCAATGATATTTAAAAAAATTACTTATTTGTCTAGGCAACAGGGTCGGTTTACATAAAATATTCCAGTGGTTTGTTTGGCGACACTGAAGACCACCAACAAACCATATGCAAATACAAGAAATTGCGCTACGTTTGTGTCCACTATGGTTCGCGCCGGAGTGAGCCCATACGGCGGCGAAACCAGCACACCACGAAGATAGGCTGTGGAAGCTGCTTCTCTGTGAAGTATGCCAACGGCCGGCTGCACATAGTGAGTTATGATATGCGCCACTGCCATCCAGTCGATCCTGAGTCTGCAATGCTCTATCCTCACAACCGCCGTTTAACGCCTGTTGAAACGGCTGAAATCGAGCAACTTCTCGCTTACAATCCCAATATGGGAGATCTCAAGCACCATATTAAAGGTATGTCTACTTTTGGGCTTCACCATTAACTCATTCACGGGTCGTTATTGGCTTTTTTGCTCATTGACATTTAGTGTCCATGTCGATACTATTGCGTAGTTATTTTAATACCCTTCGTCATACTTATGTTTAACTTCACGTTATGTTTTTACATGTTTATACCGGCACATTAGTGCTCTTTAATCAGGTAATAATAACTTTGAATAGAATACACGCTAGGCTCTCGTTTTATATTTTGTCGAACCGGCCTCGACTGCGTGAATTAAAGCGTGGGTCGTTGTATCGGAAATGTTGTTAAACCTCACTAAAACGTCTGGACCTTTTTCTTCCGTCATTTCACAATCCACAGAAATGCTTATTCGTGGAAATCCATAGAATTTCTTCACGGTTGTTAAATTAAGCGAAATGCCACCGCCATTTGTGCCTTTCATTTTATCGGTATCCGCTGACTGCGCCGCTATCTTAACCATTTCGCAATCTTTTGTGTTCGGGTTAACACGACGCAATGTTTCTAGAATACGAAACCAAAGCTTTTGATATTGGGCCGCACTGCGACAAGATTTCTTTAAGCATGCTTTCCGATCGCTGGTGTATACTATATTATAAACTCACCTGTTCAGTGTGACTTGCCAGGTTGTCGTCACAGTATTCTTTTTAGCGGTCATCGCCGTTATCTTTTATGGACCTGCTACGATGAACATTTCGATCGTCGTTTGTTAGTTATACTCTCTTCACGAAGAACTTAAGTTCCCTGAATTCCTTCGAAACTAAACTTGAAAAACTCCAAGTTTCCTTAGCTTCGGCTTAGTCGATGCGTGATGGTTAACTTGTTAATATTCACTTCGCAGTTATAATGTGAAGAAACTAAATGCCTTCTAACCATCTCATTACTCGTCACCTTTGAAATTTGCAGAAAAATACGGAAAAATCTGTACCACGCGAGATATCATCAACATGCGGTTTCGTCGGAAAAAGCGCCTTGAGAATGCAGCAATGTCCAGGGTGAAAGCCGGTGATGCTTTTGACGAAAATGATGCCCACCCGTCGTCGTCGTCGTCGTTGTCGGACCCGCCGACAGCCTCTAACCTCGAGTCCCTCGTCGACATCTGCTGTCAGCAGCAGCAGCAGCAGCATCAGCAGCCCGAAGGCTCCCCTGACGCCTCGTTTCCTCCGCCCAGTCTCACGCCCGTGTTGCACGACATCCAGCAGCTCGCCGAGGCTGCTCCCGTGGCCGAAGTGATGGGCTTCCACTCGGTTCTGCGAAACCTCGCAAACGCTTGGCGAAGGGGCCAACAACCAATTGTAATTATTCCCAAAAACGATTTAGCCAGGAGAGAGAAGGATGACTAATTTATAATCTTTGCACAACAGGGTTTCAATTCCCATACATGCTTATTTTAAACTAACTGTGCCTCTTCGAAACTAGTGGCCTTTTCTCGGATCAATATCGATCGGCACTTGGCCAACTAATGATTTGTGTGTTGATTGCAATTTGAGGTGAGCAGTTTGTCGGTCTGTCTTCTCTAAGTTTTCATGCCTTAAAGCCATTGTGATAATTCCAACAAATTCATGTTTGGCTTTGTGTCTAAGGAGGTTCCCTCTAATTTCATGACGTCAAACATGCCGAATTATCCTACCAAGTCGTCGTGTTATTCAAGATTTTCAAGTGAAAAACGATCGTGGGTTACTGTTGCATAATTCGATTATAGTTATTTTATGAGAAATAACCTCGCAGGGCTATTAAAAGTATTGAACTTTGGGGAATCGACCAGGAACACAAGGTCGGATTCATGAGTTGGGCGTAGATGTTTCCTTTTCTGGTAGTTTGAAAAGTTGACCCTCTAACCACAACAGACTGGATTCTTCATTCACTTAGTCATATTTGTTTCTGCATAGTCGTCAGCAAAACGAAGTTAAATGAAGTGTATTTAAACCCATTTGCTGTGTATCAGTCAATTGGTTAACACGTTTCAACGAGTCTTCAGGCGCTAATATTTGCCATTTAAGCCTCTGAGCAGCTCGTGTTGTGTAGAATCAATTCAATGGGTGTTGACTCATGCATAAGCGAATGTGTTTGCTGGGTTTTAAAAAAAGTAAAGTCATTAATCTGAAACCGACTTTTAAGGAATTTACTGATAACCCACTAAAACGGATTTCTCAATGTAAGGCTACATTTTTGGTATCACCGTAGCGGGATGCTGCATTAAATTTTCCAGAACGGGGGCCGGAATAAATGGTTCTGTCTGGTCCAATTTGGGTGAACACTTTGTTGTGAATACACATCTCTCAAAGCGAAGAGGTGCTGGACTCACTGAAACTAGGAGCCCTGAAAAATGTCATTTAGCTAAAACGCACTTATTCACTTGATGCTTATGCACCACTTGTTAACCAAAAGCAAAGGTAACTGTTATTGTACTGGATTTCAGATTTCGTTCAGCAACCAACACATTAGTAATCTGATTGGTGAGAAGGCGTTTTGCATGTCATTGTGTAAAATATTCCGCGCTATCCTAACTCACATCTCATGGTATTTGGTGGGCTCATGCACACCTTACATTATCGAGGGCATGATCACCAGTCTGTTCTTACAAGCCTGCTGATCCTCCATTTTTACTTCGAACGTATATGCGTAGACGATTTCAGGTAATTATGACTTTCGACAGTAATGCTAGTCCAATATGCTAACCAAGAAATCGTTCATTTCACATAACTACTTTGTTATTAGTTCGAACATTGGAGAGATTCACTAACTAAATACACATTTGTCCACAATTGTGGTAAAGCCTCTTTCACAGGAATTCAGTTTTAAGGCGAGACATTAAGCACACTCCTAAACGGGTGTCAAGTCATTCGTTTTTCACCAGTTTTGGTGCCATTCACTGTAACACCATGATTAGTTCCGTTACAATGGTTGATTCTGATAAAGTTTGTGTCAGGAGAGTTCACTAAGTGCGACCTGGCTTTAGAATCCTTACACATAAGAGCTTACTCTATGAGGTAAATACATTTCCAAGTGACCTTCTTTTATTTGCGATTTCGCCAAATAAAGAAGGCCAGATTGTGAAACGAATTCGTGGTTTGAGAAAGGTAAAATTGCCTCTTACAACAAAAATATGTGCTCAATCAAAAATCATCGGAAGCAGCTAATGTCAGTAATACGATAACAGTTAGAAAATTGCAACCAATAACTACATTTGATATACAATTTAATTAAGTGTATTGATTTTATTTTTTCATAAGCACATATTTCGTGAAAAACGTCGGAGACTATAAGATGAATTAGACTAGTGATATTTAAAAAAATACCAAATGAAAGGCACTAAGATTACTAAGAACAGACATCAAAATTCTGTAGCTCTCCAAACGGTCTTTGCCATCACAGAAATTTGTGACCCAAAATAATGTGGGTATTCCCGAATGACCTGAAGTTGCATTTTAAATCCATGAAAAATTCCCTTGATGCAAGTGTCAATATTCATCTTAATTATATTTAAATGTGATATATGCAAAACTAATACACCGTTTCGTTTGTCTAGAAATGAAAATCAAGTAAGTTTACGAAAGACATGAAACTTGTTTGATTCGAGTTTCTAAATTCGGTATTAAATTTGTAAACCAACGATGGTACTGGTGGTTTAGATACCTTATCATTTCGATATTGTTACTTTGCTTTGTCAAGGCTAGAGCATACCAAGTACTAGATAAAGCAAGGACGCTTTGGTTGGAATCAACTGAGGGTGGCGATGGAATGGTTTGAATGCATGTTATTTACAAAATAATTTTTTAGGAAGTCCTTGGAAGTAAATTAATTTTGCAATTTTCTGTACTCTAACAGCTCACAATTTAATTGATTCAATGAGATAGATATTTCTGTCCCAGATTTGCTACTACGCCTGTAGCCAAATAAAGTCAGGATTCCAAATAATAATAAAATTAACAGTGGTGGCTGAAAACAATTTGAACCCGTTCCAGTAGCGTTCGAATCCAAATAAAATTAGCTGTATGTACTTTGAATCGTAATATTGAGGGTCATCAGAGGTATTTCGCCATTTTTGTTTATTATTCAAGGAGTCCAAGTGATAGTCATTCTGATTTATTTTACTGAAAAAAATTTTGCTATTTTATTATGATAAATAAATCACTAACATCTTAAGGGCATCAGTTCATAATTTAATGCTTGCGTATGCCTTAACTAAATCTTTATTTGCAACAATTTTTTTTGAAACAATATCAAATTGTTTGAGAAACAGTCACTTTGAATTACATTTTTGCTTAAAAAAGCCCTTTAATCATTATTAATTCTTTAAATACTGACTTGACATTGACTATAGTTTAAGTGTACCAAATCCTTTTGTGTCTACTCTATATCACTCGGCGGCGTTTCGTGATGGCGGGGTATGTGTGCTGGATATTTGTTTTGTGGTCCTGCGTTGGTTCATTGTTTTTGTTATATGAAGAAATTTTCAGTGAACCTAACTAATCTGTGTTTATTTAATGTCTTAATTTCAACTCCGATCACCGCCAAATTAACACTGTTGTATTTAAATGTTTTAAGTGGTTAAAGAAATACTTACTCATTTATCTATTTTATTACCTAAATTTGCTAAGAGACAAAAAAGAATGTTAGAAAGAATAAGAATGTTTTTGGGAAAGCAATAAATTTCTTTCTTAGTCAACGCTTTGTCAAAGATTTTTAGTTAAGATTAAAAGCTGTTTTTGTTGCTCTACAGCCAAAGTCAATTGGATTGCCTCTTATAACAGGCAAATATTGCTTGTAGTATATTGCTTCAAAAGTGAGACGTCGATTTTCATTCTTTATGCTAGTGCAATCGCAAATAGTTCATTTGAGCTTAATTATCTACCTTTCTCTTCTCTGCAAGTCTGGTTATTTGTATGCAAATCGAGAAGGCGGATGGTTAACTTCAATATGACATCCAGTATCCATTAAAATATTTTCATGGATTCTTAGCTATTCGCCTGACTATATTTCTCGTCCGTGATTTTTCCGCGGAAGCTGCTTACCTTCCTCGTGATTATTTCCATTACATAAATAATTTTTAGGCCGATATGTGTAGATAGTGAATTCGTGCTTTGTTTGTTTTCAGATCCAGAAAAGTTCCAGCTATTATTTCGACAGTTCTGTCGGCTGGCTCGCAAGCGTTCATTGTCTATTTTTGTGGTCTGCGTTCACAGCAATACCGATATCTCCAAGTAAAATCTATCTATGCAAACACGAAGCCAGTTCCCTTAGAGAAATCGGCATGCCTTCTGGCAAGTTTCAAATGAATATTACATTGTATGTGTAATTTAATCGGAAGGTAGTTCAACCACTTTGAGAAAAAAATTAATAAAACCTAGTTCCTTAGAAATCACAGTAAATCAACAGAGCTTGACAGTTAAACGGTCAAAAGCATAAAGTTATTGATAAATTTTTCGTTGACAGGAGATATCGTTAGTCAGTGTTATTGCAAACATAATTGCAAATAAATGATTTCGTTGAACTTTACAGCAAATTCATTACCTCGTCCAGAGTTAACTCTTGTTGCCTACGGCATATTTACAAAACACTTTGGCAATACTTCCTCTAAACCTAAGAACGCATTACAAATGACAGACTGACAACGTGAATTTGTGTTGAACAGTAACTTTATTGAATAAGACAGTCCATAGAAGAACAAAAGTGGAGTCTTTGGAGGCATATTTGGGTGGATTTCATTTTTTCAATGACCAGAATGCTCAGCTTTTACCAGAGAGTAAGTATCGTCCTCCAAAGGTTTTTAAGAATGGGCCAAAATCCATCAAAAACACCCCTTAGGCTATGGAATGGATGGTAATGAATCATAGGGTCAAATCGTATCTTCCCACGTGCCTCCTTTAATCAACCTTTCGGCTGTGTCGATTTATCTATGAAAATCGCTTTGTATCGATTATTTTTGTCGGATATGCATTCGGTGTGCATTCCCTTACTATTCTACAAAGTCACAAATATATGCCTGCTTAGAGCAAGACCTAATTCATTATCTATAAAATTTATTAATTTTTGTAACACCGATAGCATTAAACAAGCTTTTGCGGCAATGACAGGTGTCGTCTTAAGGGTCGTTCCAAAATAACCCGTAATTTGCCCCTAAAGTAGCGTAAGATGCCATTTTTCTGTCAGAATATACGTATAGGCCTTCAAAACCGCTGTTGTACACGTTGACCAAGCAAAACACATTTCATTTCTCCAGAGACTGGGTCCTTCTCATGACGCAACATGGCGACTCGAAGGTGAGGCCCTCAAAGAACGTTGGGTCTCAATGGAGACAAAGGATGCCATTACAGGTCTCCTTTGCCGGTGCTCTTCAGAGACTCCAATATTTAGATGGGTACGTTGTGTGCGTGCATTCGATATAAACTCTTGTTGATGTCTCTACCAAGGCCAAACCACAGCCCCTTATATGAATTTGAAGCCCAAATTTTCTGCTGCTGATTGCAGTTCACTTCTGTGATGGGGTCTGGGAACACAGATGACCAGGGAGTAGTCAGGTATGTCAAGTCTCAAAGATAACTCTTGTATAAAAAACTATTGAGAGTAAACTTAAAAGCACGCTTGCCATTTTTCTAACCAACTTAATTGTCAAATGTCCTTCCACTATCGCATCCTGAGTAGAATAATAAGGCTACAAACACTAGTTTGTTACTGTGCTAAAAAATTGCTATTAGCGACCGACGGTTAAATCAATGCACAAAAATTAACAAGGGTTCAGTTAAATAGAAATTGGATGCTAAAAAGTGCGTAACTCTCGCAAAATTCCATTGCACGCGTCTTACATAGGTGTAGTGATAGTCAACAACGTTGTACCACGCTCTCTGTCGTCCTATTAGAAGTTACTTTTAATGCAGCGAATTTTGCTGACACGAACGTAGTCATTTCACCGTTTGGGAACCACCCGTCGTGATGACGATTATCTACGCTGTGTTAGTGTCCTATTATTATATCTGGAAATTTGGTGGCGCAACACCGAAGAAAACTACTAAAGTTAAAAGTTACAATATTCAAGCAGTTTTGCCACTTTACTTTCATCCCATCTGCCTATGCATGTCTAGACACCTTGGTAAGTCACTGCTTCAATTAGACTGCGTGTCCGTCCCACCACTCATCCCTTTGCCTTTAGGGCCGTCCTTTGTGATCACGCATTCGTGTTCTCCTACCTCCTCTATCACGCCTCACCCGCCTTCCATCATTCAGCCGTTTGTGCACCCTAGGGGTTAGCAACCACCTTTTCAAATTTATGACTTAAAAATGCAACCGACGTTGTGTGTTCCGGAGTCCGAAAGCTATACTTGTTGATCTGCCTGATAACGGTTGAATTTCCATCACCTCTGTGGTTTGTTATCTGTGCCCTTCGTGCTGTATCATGTCACAATAATTTCGACGATTCTATATGCACTTGAAATCCAAGGGAATCGCTTTCAGCAGCTTTGAAGAAAAAATTATGAAGCAGTTTTTAACATCGGCTGAAACAAACAAAGTCACAGAACCCAATAATGACGCCGTGAGAATTATGTATGATGCAATAATGAATTCGCTAAGTGTAAAGGAACGACACAAAAATAGTGACATTCGGATCTGTCTTAAAAAAATCGATATATACTGACACAGAAGTAGCTAAGGCCTTCGATTTAATATTTGGGTCAGCCGATGCGGTACTAATTAAAATTGCCTCGGTATTATCACCGTGGCTAAACGTCCGCAAAACACGAATATTTAAAAAAAGATTAAATCGAAATTCTAGTAAAAGGATGTGGTAGAGTTTAAAGATATGATTCCTAATCAATGGATCTGCCAGAAGGATGAACGGTAAGAGATAAAAAAGAATAAATACCTTTAGGGTCTATTTGATAACATTCCAAAAAACCCAGTTCTTGCCATGCTGCGTATCATAGTTCCAAAATTATGCCTTTAAAACGGTAAGAGTATGAATTCTCTCCAGGCGCTTAAACATGGCATATCGTTGTACATATCAGATGAAATTAACAACGTATCATCTGCAGAATCTGTTTAAACATTTTAATCATCAAAGAAATGGTCCTTGTGAATGCCATCGAAAAGGTAATTATAAACCTTTGAAATCGCAAAGTTTCTCTTGAGCCAGTTATTTTTGACCTAGTTCCAGTTCTGTCCATATAATCATGCAATGGATCAAATTTTAATATCTCCATCCAACGCTTCGGGCGATTTAGTCAATTGAATGCGTCTAGAGGCGCGTTGTCTCCCCACAGAACAAGGCGACCCATTCACCCTTACACATTCAGCTCTTACCAACTCCTTCTCAAATCGATTTTCAGATGGTCGTTTTAGAACGCTTCACTTTGAGCATTAGCCTGAGCTTTAGCCAGCACAACTGGAGCGAGCCTGAGACAACCTGGTTTGAGAAAACGTAAACGCAAGTGGGATGTTTTGCTGACAAGTTGAGACCGGCCTCCGCCGTAGTGCGGTTTTAAGCGTCCGAGGCCCGCTGAGACAAAGCCAGGCTGCCATGGTGTGTGTGTGTGTGTGTCAGCGGTCCTCCACAGGCGTCACTGCTGGACCTCACGCGCAGAACCAGGGTTGTGTGTCACAGTGCAGGGCGTGGTGACAGGCCGTGCTGGTAGACCGGCGGCCACCCGTAGGGGGAGGGGGGTGTTGCGTAGATAGTTGACGATAAAATACACAAACGCACCCATGTTTACGAACTGCAACATCTACGTCATTGACCAGAGGTAATTGGTGGGCCGCGGTTGCACCAGCCATCAGCTTAATTAATATTTACTCGTATCACCCTATCCACTTGGAGGTCCAGGTTAACGCGGTTATTTGGCTAAGCGATTCGTCCACCGGTTAAACTCCAATCACTTGTAGCGGCCAAAACAACCAACGAAGCCCGTGTTTTACTACTCTTAAGTATTCATTCAATCAAGCATAAATTCAAGTCGTTTAAAGGAGAGGGAGACGACAAATTGGACTGCGAGTAACCTAATTTTTTTTTTAAAATTTTAGTGAGTAAACACGTACCTTTTTGGCTAACCTGGACATTTTGTAAATGAAGTACACTTTAACTTTGAATTTGAGTGGCCACGAAGCAGATTCAGTTGAGCCAATTCTAGATGACACCTGGTCCATTCTAATTTACTCCATCTAACGAAGCTTGAGGAAATCACAAGCACGAGTTGCACTCTCTGGTAGGCAACAGGGACTATCTGGGTCCGAGTGGTTGTTATTCAACGATGCAACCGACAAAGTAGGCTCGTTTACTTCGTTTTAGCTGGTTGAAGTGAATCTCGCACAGGACCCGTCGAATGCTTCGACCGGCACTGTGGTTGGCTTTGAGTGCCTTACGACTGTTGCCGCGGAGTCGAACTCGAAAACGGTGAAATTAGGCTATGATGGAGGAGAATTAGATGGTACGTTTTTATCTCATGCCTAATCATCGGATCTCCCCTCATCTTAAGCGGTGTCTTCTCCAAAAGAATACACCAAACTTGAGTGGCGAGCCAAATTTTCTCACTTGTGTTTCCACTTTGGTCGATATGATACTCGAGTCGATATTATGTATCCAAGCAATCAGCCAAACAAAGCTTTAAATACAGGCTTCACGATGTGGATTTGATCTGTTTGCATCGTGGAACCTGTGGCTAAATCGAACCTAATTTAGCATGGGATTTACTTTAGCCCTGGTATCTTTATCGACTAGGATCTTCAGCAAAACCGTAAAATCATGAGGATAATGCTCTACAAAGCCATATGCTGATATCTTCCTTCCCCCTATTTTGTCACTAAATGACCTTGGCTATTAAACACGCAAACTACTAAGTTCAAATTAACAGCGCTTTAGGTAACTTGTTTGTGTGAATTTCTTGGTTAGTACCGAATAACCACCTATTTTCAATCGGTTTTATGGCAATGGTTCAGTGAAAAATAAACGCCGCCCTCTAGACTTGAGGGGGGTTGTTCAAAACAAAATAATCGGACTATCTGCTCTCTTTGTTTAGTCTATCACATGGTGATTAATCCGACTTTGTCGGAGGATCTTGGGTACTGCCACAATCCTCGTGGTCCCGCCCAGAAATTCCCTCTGCGCCCAGTCAGCCCTGAACCAGTGGACCCGTCCTCCCTCCTGTGTGTAGGACATCGAGGTCTTGGTGCGGAGCATGACTCGGTACCTGCAGAGGAGAGGTGGCCGGAGAACACCCTCCTTGCCTTCAAAAAGGCCGCAGAAATCGGGATTCCCATGGTCGAACTGGACGTGATTCCGATTCGCGATTCTACAGACCATGTATTGTTCCATAATTTCAACCTCATCACTAAAAAGTGCGACCAAACCAGACCGTGTGGCTGTCCAAAGTACGAGGTTGATGTTTTTCACGGTAAACATCTGAGACTACTTATTGGTTAAAAGCACTGCTGTTTTAGCAGGCATTCTTGAATTTTCAGCTTCGGGTGTGTGTAACAAAAACATGCAGAATCTGATTCCGAGATTTTCGCTGAGTGAATTGAAGGATTTGAAGTGGGGTGCACACAAGAAGACATGCGAGAGTGCCGTTCGTGAAGACGACGTTGAGTACGCGGAGCCTGAGGGGAAGACGCTGACGCTGCAAAGGCACTCCAAGCTAGCAGAATACGCACCGCTTTTTTCGGAGTTGCTCACCACGGTCCCCACAAAACTGGCTTTGGATGTGGAACTGAAGTACCCCCAGGACACCCCCTACATGGCATTCAGACTGATCAACGAGCACGGGGAGACGGAGAAATCCCTTGCCGAGTTTGGCCATCCGAGCAAATACTTCTATTCCATCAACAAGTTCGCCGATAATGTCATCAGAGTGAGCACTTATTGCCGGCATTTATGTTGCTTATTTTTAGAGGCAATTCCGAATGACTTAAATTTAACAAGTATTCAGCCTATTGCCTCTTTTCCTCTGCTGGATTGGTCGAGAACTGGTACTCCTTTGCGCTTACTGAAATCCCAACTGTACTTTTAAGTAGTGTACACTGCGCTTGGTAAGTTTGTTTTATTTGCTGTAAACCGATCGATTTGTTCAGATGGCGTTCCTTAGGTGAACTAGCATGATGAAAATACTAATTAATTCAGTGGTACTTTTTAAATGAAATCCCAGTTCTTAGTCCAGACCGGGCAGATCGATTTTACTAAAAACGATGAGTCACCGGAGTCACTCAATACCGTTTTCAGAGTCTTTTAGTAGAATGAATGATAATATAAAATTGCAGCGGTCTTAAATTAATGCTCGAGTCAAAAATCACAGCTCATTTCTATATTGGTATGTCTAGTCGTCTCGCCCAATAAGGGTTACCAATTGGGGCCAATGGGATGGAGCCAGCGTAGTTCATTATCGCTGTATAGTGAGTGCTTCCTAGTACGATCTACTATACTTTATCGACCCACGTTTTGTTCAGAGCCTTCAAGAATTGGGAGGAGGTCGTGAGGTGGTGCTGGGCTCTTTCAACACGGAGCTCTGTTTGGCCCTGCGACTCAAGCAATCGAAGTACCCCGTTCTGTTCCTCTCCCGGTCCGGAATGCTCACGGGCGGGTCCGAGCCTCAGCATACCTTGGACCCTCGACACCTGAACGCCTTCGCTGTGGCGGAGTGGGCCAACCTCGTCGGCCTTGACGGCGTCGTTATCCGCGGTGAGTCTATCCAGGAAGGCGGCGCCGAACTCGCGAAGCTCCTCGCTGATTACGGTCTCGCGTGTATCGCCTACGGTGATGTGGCGTCAACGCCCGAATTCAGATCATATGCGGCTTCACTTGGTATTACTGGCATCTGTATCGATAATGTCATTAAAAACGCCTGGTAGCGTGCATGTGCGCCTGTAGAACATTCTAGAATCGTGACATTGTCGTAGCTACGGAACTTTTGACTCCTTTTTGGACAATAAAATATACTAATTACTTGCCCTATTGACTTCCGAATTATATATTTACTGTGCTCGATTTTATCAAATATTTCAGATTCTGGTTATCTAAAAAAAAAGAGTACCATGGATCCACAGGTTAATGGACAAGTGAGGTTTGAATATGATAAACCATTCATTCATCCGCCACTACTGCACAAAATAATGACGAAGAGAATGACTTTGATTGTCTTGGAATAGAAAGGCCTCCTACAGCACTAGATACCTGCAAGTGTCCGGTAAAGTAATATCTGGTCTTGGTGGAGGTAGGAACATCCCGCAAGGGTTAATCACGTAAAGTACCTTGTTGTCATCTTGTGGGAAACCCATCTAGTTTTGTGTCGATTCGTGGTTTGGCGTACGGAACTCGTTTTGGCGAAACGCTACGGGGGGCCACCGAACTCGGATACTGCCAGTAATGCTGAATCCGATTGGATTATTTTAGGTGGGACGTTAACCTATAACTGACAATTAGTATTTGCCAACCTAGTTAGCTTTCAAGAAGGATATTCCATGAATTAAGTCCTAAAATAAATGACTGACTTAATATCCAATAATCTGGTCCGTTGTGAGATATACTACGAGGCTTTGCAAACTGTTTCTTTGTGAACCTAGTCCAATTAAGAAACCCAAACTAGTTTTCCGTGGTAGCACGCGCAAACCCTCAATCATATCAAAGGGCTCGATTGAGAACCTTCGGCCAGCGATTTACCCTTCACAAAGAATGATGCGTATGCCACCTTATCAAAAATACCTCAAAATATCACGAGTACTCACGCCCGTCCAAATAAACCCCATGCGTATTAGATACATGTGAACAGATTAAGATGGTCGACAGAACTTTTATCAAATGATTATCATTAACATACGCGCATCAGTCGCCTCAAATATTCCTCTCCATCCAGGGTCTCGAATTACAGCCCAAAACATCGAAATTTGACGTACGCCTGCAAAGTTTCTAAACTAATATACTTCGGGCTAACAGATGAGAAAAAGGTTCAACTGCAAAAAAATTCCGTCCGAACCCCAGATAACTAGTTTACTAGGTACGCACTAGTTTCAGAACAAATAGACATAATGATAACATAGATGGGAAGAGTTAGGAAGCAACCTTGTTCGACAAGTTATGGGGCCAAAACCGGTACGAAATGGAAAACATACGATTTAACCTGTCCCAATGCCCCGCTCACAATATTTTAGAAAAATAGAATAAAAGTACGTTCACAGTAAGTCCATTGTCTAAAGTAGTAGATGTACTAAGCCCAGGATAAAAATTGCACAGGCAAAATCAAATCATTTCAAATGAACAGATATCAGTTTCTAATTCTATTCCAAAGCTAGCCAGTGCTTGAAGTGTATAAAACAGGAGATTTTAACAACCACTGTATGTAGACGAAGTGATTAGCCAGGCTTCAGAAGGTAATAAAGGAACTTTGACTTCCTAAACAGCAGCAGCGCCAGAAATAATTTCGATAAGTTCCCTAGTAATGACTGCTTGCCGGGTCCTGTTATAAGTGAGGGTCAAACTATCGATCATTTCCCTCGCGTTCTTAGTTGCCGACTCCATTGCTGTCATTCTTGCTGAGTGCTCACTTGCAGAGGCTTCCTTAAGTGCGTAAAATATGAAAGAGGAGAGAAGAAATTCATTATAACAACGAAGAGCTTCGTCGTCGACTGAATCATACACTGCAAGAGACTGAGCATGCTGCAGTTGTTCAAGGCTGAAGAGCGGCTGATCGACAGTTGTGTATGAAATCACCGACTTAAACTTATTGTATAAGAGCGATGCTTTGTCAAATTTGAATTCACAATCCAAAAGTGCTTGAGCAATTAACGAAGCATCCGCGAAAGTCGGAGGCCGTTTACCAACCTCGGTGAAGGACATAAGGAAGTGTTGTGAAAATTGACGAGACAAAAAGGCACGGGCTTTGTCACCAATAAGAACCAGCTTAATGTCTTGACCTGCAGGTGGATTTGACAACATATCTCGAAGAACCTAAAGTTATTAAGAACGATTGTTAGCATGGTCGAAGATAAATGAATGAAAGCAATGTATGGCTACTACCTTTCCGACTGTGCTGTTAGCAGCACCACAGAGACCACGATCAGAAGTTACTGCGATCACAAGGTGATTCTTAGAAGGAGTTTCATCTGCCTTGAGCTGTTCCAGGAGACCCGATTTTTCATAGAAAGCCGCAGTGCCGTAGCCATATGGAACGGCTGCCTTCAATTCGCGCTCCGCCTTAGCATATTTAGCGGAGGCAACCATTTTCATCGAAGACGTAATTTTTTGAATGCTTGTTACGGACTTCAGCTGCATTGCGACATCTTTTAGCGTGCCCATGCCACGGGACAACGCCCTAAAATTAAAAAGTGGTCACGGGAAATTAGAAAATTAGCTAAAGTTGAAAGATCTCAGCATATAACTGTGCTAAATTTCCATATTATGTAAAATTTAATTCGATAAAGTCTTCCACATAAAAACTAACAGGAAGAAGGACTGAAGTTATCAAAAAATGAAAATGCTGTGAAGTTAACAGGTAATAAAAAGATCACTGATGAAACGCATTGAAACAAAGGAACGCAAAAAAATTCTGCATACAATCAAACTATAGCGTGTAAATAAGATATAGAAATGGTGAATAAAAATGCACGAAAAATGAAACATGGAGAAAGAGATGCGGACGGCAATACTTGGCACTATTTCTGATAATAGCAAACTATAGCACTATGTGTATAGAACTGATTATTATTATCGGACACTATTCAATATCGCACTTACGGGGGTGAAAAACTCGGAAAAACCCGGAGAGTCTGCATGATAACGCCAAATGTACCGTCCAGAGCACTGTTGGAACAGGCGGACCCAACTACTAAGGAACCAATGAAAAACTAGGTCTTCGATTTCCTCAATTGAATCAACGCACACAGGCTTTAAAAAATACATTCAGTATTATAAATGATTTCACGTTGCCTAAAAGCCTTTTGATGTTTGCAGAGCTTATTCTTTTAAAACTAATCCTTCTTAAAATAAAAAGCAATCTAAAAACAAATTGGAAATCAGTGATTTTGATACGCGCAAAATTGATATCAAAGGTGTCAATTTCAGTTATGTCACCCACGTCACCTTCCATGCTATTGAACACCAATCTTACCTAATAACTTCCTCATATATTTTTACTCCTTCAGGCCTGCCCAATAGCTAGAATATTGATTTTAACATTTCTTCCGAAATATGTCAACAAGTTAGAGCTCTCCGCCTTCTATTCGCCTTATAAACGTACTCCGAATAAATCACCCTAGAATTTTCCAATCTTCGTCGGTGTTGTGCTCTGTGTGCTTGTCAGGATCATCTCTCTCCTACGGTTCAAGAGTAATCCGATTCTCATTTTAGGTCATACCTCTGTTCGCGCATTACAATTACAGGAGCTGTAGTATTTTGTCCTGGGTTTGCACAATATGCGTTTACTCTATCAAATGAATCCATACTGCGATATATGAAGTGACACCTCTAGATAGTATAATATGCTAAAAATTGTAAAAATTAATTAAGTGTTTTTTTGGATGCTTATAAAAAAATTAGGGACATACACGACTCGAGGACGTTTCCTTTAATAATGACCGAATGCACTAAATTACTGGTAGTCAATTAGAGAATCTGTAGGCCAGTTGAAAAAGGTCCCAAATTCTTGTGCCACCAAAGCACATTATAAAATTAAATCGGGAATAATTTTTCAACTATCCGTACCATGCATGTAAGGCAAATTGGGCAGTCGTTATCATTGATTTTGATAAATAACATTTTTTCACTTATTTAAACTCCAATTTACGCAAATGTGGTAAATTACATAAAATATAAATAAATTTGTAGGGTATGTGAGTAAAATCAAGGAAAATCAGGGCTAATCAGAAAAGCTAGTTACAAAATTTACGACAGAAATTTAATAATTACTAAGTAGATTCTTTTACTTGTTAAGGCTGGTAAGTCTTAGTCAAATGAAGTTTCGAAAAATTTTGAGGAACATCGAAGCATCCCCTGTTTCGAA